TAATATCGACATTTATTTGTGTGAATTTTCTTTTTAATAATAATACTCATATCTAATGTTATTTCTACTCGTGAAATAGTTGAAAAGTATTCGTGGTATTTGGTGAAATTCATTGAAATCTATTCCTAACGTTTTACATGCTCTTTTCAATGGGAATATCGACGACCTTTAAGTGCTCTTTGCAAACTAGACAACTCATCGATGTTGTATGGGCTACCACTTGGAACGAGACAATGTTTCGAGTACCATCGTACGACCATTAAGAACCTTTTTCCAATTTCAAATCTACTTTTTACTGTCTTTTCAAGACAAACTATTAATAAACAAAAACATTGAAATTTGTATTTTGTATTTTTTTGAATATGCGTTGACCTTTCGCGCTATTCTATTTGCGTGTAATTTCATTCCCTAAATTGTTCGCCAAAAATAATGTTAACAAACATGAAATAAACAATAAAATTGGACCTTTAAAAAAATGTAACAAATGTACAATTTCCCCTAAGGGAAAATGAAATTCTATTTGTTTGTGCATAGAAGGAAAGAAAAATCATGGTTGAAATTCATAAAACAACGTAATCTTCGAATGAAACCATGTGGAAAACTAAAAGATCGACGTTATTGTCGTACGGACGAATGCACGCAAAACTCCCTCATCTTGGTCTTCTTTTTTCCTTCTGAAAATATTCAACTTTTCGTTGAACACGAAGAGGAAATGATGTTCGTCCTTTACGTTCGCCAATGAGAATTGGCGAAGCAACTGGATCAAGAGAAAAAAAAAGACAGATAGAAGGAGATGGAACTCTTGTGATCTCATCAGTTGGAAGAACTCTATTGAGAAGATCCTTTCCAATTAAAATTGAACGACTTTCAGGATCTATTTCTCTTTTGGATTTCCTATCAAAAACATTTTCGAGGATCTTTCGAGCACGTTTTCAAATATTTCGATTTTAATGATCTGCATTTCGATGAAATCTGTGTAAATACCGACGATCTATTTTAAATACTAATCAAATATGGTAAATAGTATGCAATTTTAATTTCACGAGATTTAATTCATACAAAATTGGAACTTCAACGGGCGTGAATATATCAAAAATATCAAAGTCAAGAATAAAAGTATAAAAAAAAAGGAAAAAGTGAGAGAGAAAAAGAAAAATATATAAAGTAGAACAAGCAACGTGACTTATCAAGCCAAATATGCGAATGAATTTTTTATTAAAAGCTCATATTTTTCATTTCCATATACATATGCATATATGTAAGTACTACTAGTTTTAAATATACAAGAATACCTCTATATATATATATATATATATATATATATATATATGCATAATGCACACCTACGAGAGATTTTAAGTTTACGAGATTTAATTTACACACAAAGTTCGAACTCCAACACCCATGAATATATAAATATAATAATTTCGGTGAAAAATAAAAAGTGAGAAAAAGAAATATATACAGAAGGTGTCGGAAAAGATTAAAATCAAACTTATGGCACGTGTTAAGTGTCAAAAAATTTCAGTACAAAAATTCGAAAACGTTCAAACGCTTGATAAAAATTTTTCTCGACTTTTTCGAGCACCTTATATATGAATGGTATAGAATATCGAGTCACGTGACCTATCAGTAACCCTCCGCCTTCTTTACTCTTCAAAAAGGACAATTCGTCGACAGTTAACACGGCAAAGACATTAAGCAATCCCAAAAATCATTCCACTCCCACACACACACATCCGTGTACCCCCTTTTTCCGAACGTCATAAAAGTACCAGCAATAGCAATCGACCCCGGACGCGACCCTTTTCTCTTCTCGGACCATTAAGAAAAGAGAAAAGGGATGCCGCGAGCAAAAGAGAGAGAGAGAGAGAGAGAGAGAGGGTGATATGGAGTGCTCGATGCAGCGTGGAATTTTCCACTAAGTGATCTCAAAGGATGTCACGTTGAGAACAAATTGATTTTTTCCTTTCCCCTGGAAGCAAGCGCCCTTCTTCCCTCTGGTTCACCTATCACCCTTCATTGTCGTCAATTTTCAAACTATGATATCTATCGTGAAAAAGACAAGACTTGGAACAAGAGAAGAAGAATTTTCTCGAATTTCTTTCATGAAAAAAAGGGACACGCATTTGATCCTACCACCCTCCCTCCCACCTCTTCTCCTTCACTCTTACTCTTGGATATACGGATATTCCGTTTCCGTGAAGGAAACGGTCGTTGCCCTTAGGGCCGATACTAGGTCCGATGACGTAACAACGAACGAAAGGATCCTTTTTGCCCGTGGCTAGGATTTCCAGGAATTCTGTGACACGCGCAACGAGTGTTGAAGACGTGTGCAAGCCTTCGCCAAGTTCGAAGGGATTCCCTTGTCGATCCTTCTCTTCTTTCCTTCCTTCCTTCCTTCCCTTCTTATTATGCTTTCGGCTCTTTGGTTTGAAAGAAAATAAAGAAAACGAAGGGATAAGCTCCGAATAAGATAGAAATCGTCGTTGAAAATAATCTCCGATGTATTCTCCCTTCTCATTTGTTCTACGAGAAACGCCGAAGGAAAGGCACTGGGGGAAAAGGAACTTGAAGATAATTCAGGATACTCTTTTGTTCTCCGTTTTTTCTTTGTGTCTATCGAGATCAGTAACATCAGCGATTTTTCAACCAATCTCGATTCGGACATTCCACAGTAGTTGAACATAGTAGTCCACAATGTTACCAATTATAATATCCGTTTAACTACAGTGTAAACATTAAAAAGGGAAACATCAGATGTATCTTTTTAGTGTCAGGAAACTTTTCAAAGTACTCAGATATTATGGGAATTTGATATTTTTACATGAAACAACAATGTAGAACATCCCAGTTTAAAGTGAAGAAAAGTTAAATGTGAGAAGTGGTAAGACTTGATAATGTTGATGCCAGGAAGAAGGAAGAGACTTTATGTTATCTTCTTGGATAGACATGATTCTTAGGAAGATAGGAGCCAACGTTAAAACGTGCCACGCGGAAACGACACGAATGACGATAGGAATGACGACAGACTGAGAAGGGTGCCCTTCCGCGAGTGCAAGTGTACCCAACGGTCTCTTATATGCGCTCACCCTTCTATCCTCACCGCAAGTTCACCCTCCCAGGCTATTTAAAATGCAGTGCACTTTGGAGATCTTTAAAGGTACTCTACTACTCTTTCAAAGTATGCGTACTTGCTTGCCTGCATATAAGAGACGACAAAACGCAAGTGGTGTCGAAGCGAAGTATAAGAGATAGCAGTGAAATATAATAAAATGTCTAATTTTAGTGTTGTAATATTAATATTTGTTAAATAATTGATAAGAATATGATGAATTTGGAAAGGAATGTTCTCATATGAAATTGTTAATAGATATTGTTCTTATCCGTTGAAATCTATTCATACCATTAACGATCCATTAACGTATCTTTTTATTATTCGAGGATTCGGGTAGATTGAAAAATTGGACAGGCAAAGAGCGAAAGCCATTAGCTGGTCGCTTTTCGACTACGTTATGTTCTAATGGAAAATTACACAAACGCTTGGCAACTCTATCAGACAACGCGAACAAGATAATTGACCGGTGAGATAATTGTGAAACACGTTATGCTCTTTATATCCTTGCATCTCGCACCTCGCACCTCGCACCCTCGTCCATCTCCAATTTTATCTTCCAATTTTATCTTCCAATTTTCGCAAAGAGTATAGCAAAGCTCCTGAAAGCTGCTGAAAGCTCGCCAAAGCTTACGGAACAATACCTCACGTTAACAATTTTTCATTTGCATTATTAAATATGAAAGTAAGAAAGGCTTGTACTTTTTTTAGGTACTCTTCAAAATCAAACGAACAAAATTACAGATAAAGAAATTACAAATGAGAAATAAAAAAAGAAAGAAATTGTATAGAATATAACAGATGTTTCGTTAGTTTCGCTGTTTCATTCTCTTTTTCTGAGACTCAATTTTCCTCGATGGAGTTCCAAACGATACTATCTTGACTCGAGGAGATACAATAACAAAGCAAAATCGATGGCGAATATCCTTCGCGTATCCTGTAACCTTCGACGAACACGTTCGTTCGACCGAGATGTGTCGTCCACTCGTGTCCGTGTAGAAAATTCTAAAGATTCTTATTTCAACGGAGATAAAATTGTAGCTACGCCAGAGATTTCTTCTCTATCTTTTGTCAAAAAGAAACCTTCCCCTTCCCTTCCCTTCTTCCTTCTCTCTTTTTCTCTTCGCATTCTTCCTTTCTTTTCCAAGTTCTAGCTCCTACTATTTCGATAGAACCAACGTGCGATAAAACGAGATGAAACAATGGATATCGAAAATCGTTGGAAAATGGTTCGAATTTCGAACGAATCGCCGACAATTTTACCAAGCAATAAAATATCTTTCTTCTTCTCGCTTAAAACACAAATAAACTATATTAAATATTATACGAGAGATGATATCAATATTTCTGCTAGAATAGAGAAAATTAGACAAATGCTATTTAGATATTAAAATAATCGGATTACTAATTTTCATATTAAACTATTTTGATAGACTTATTATTATTAAACTAGGCGTCCCAATTTTTACCTTCACATTCTACGAGTGAAAATAAGAAGAAGAAGAAGAAGAAGAAGAAAAAAGAAGAGAAAGGTTTATTTAAAATGTGAACTTTGAAACACTTGATTAAAAAGTTAGTCTTGTGTTTCATGACGACTTGAAATAACGCGAATATTATAATATTACAAACGAAAGTTGCTTACTTTTCAGGAGATCATGCAAACTCGTATAATACATCATGCAACTCATATGTATAATATAAAGCATTTCCCTTAAAATGGGACACACCCTGCGTGTGGTGTAATAAGAAAAAGAGAAAGCTAAAGACCGATATTATCTACAGCAATGATATAATATTTGAAGAAAGATAATAAAGTCATCTATAAGGGAAAAAAATATCACGGAGGGTTAGATGGATCATGTTTGTCTTTAATCGAATTACTCACTTAGTTGTTACTCTCGGCGATGTCACCGTTGATAGATCGATCGATCGATCTCACTTGTTAGACGACGATAACTCGAACGATAATCGATTTTCCCTGGAAAAGACAAAGATAGAAGTTTCAATTAAAATTTATCGTGTCGGTCAAGTTAGTTATATCAATTAATTCCATTATAAATAACTATGATACATCTATTCTTTGAACATTTTCTAAGAGAAACAACTTATCCTCTTTTATATCTTAAAGCATCATCATTTGGATGTATAATAAATAAAGTAAATCATCGATATCAAAACGTATTTAATAATCACGTTGTGTTCAGTGACTTGGACAAAACAATCGGCCAACGCATAAGCGCGAAGAATATTAATTTATCTCGTTATTAGAGATTATCGCCGTTGCTAAAGCCACGCAATAGTAGAATGCACTTATTGTTATTCCAATCGGAGGAGTATATCGGCTTGCCAAGCACATCAAATTACGACTATGAATATTAATCGAATGGTAAATCCCATCATTTATAATCATAACAGATCAGAAACATTTACTACGTTTAAATTTGATATACGTTTCATATTTCCGTCACAACTTTTTCCTTTTTTTTATTTCTTTCTTTCTTTTACTCTACCATATATTTTACCTGTATGTGCACAATTTTACAAATAATATTACAAGTTACGAATATATTTGCAATATTTTCATTGGCAAAATCTGTAGTAAATAAACAGAAAAGGTAAAACTTTGTTTGTTTGATTTCTTTTTTAAACGTGAAATTAATATTCGAAAGGACATACGATTTAGCATGACTTTTTGGTTGACTACTTAATATTCAAAAGGGGTTAGACGTTCATAAAGTGAACTTAAAATGGTTTAGCGCAGAGAACACGGCCTGTTACAGACACATTCAAATTATTTGTTATACTAAGCTACGTGACTTCATTGCTAATATCATTCGTAATGCATCCAGTCAATAAATTAAACCTTTGCTACAGAAAGATATCTCGATTTTGTAAAAAAATTATGTGAGCAAATTCTTGACTAACAATTATTTATAACAATCTATCTGTAACAAATTAATTTTTTAATATTGATACACGAGCAAATGTATAAACAATTTTTATATTAATTATTTATAAAAAATGCATCAATTGTTATTAACAGTATAATGGAACGATAGAGGAAAGTCTATCCTTTAAAATGAACCTTTAACCAAATTTCTACGACCAATAGTTTCGGAGATATTTCAATAAAAATTTTGTTCCGTTGATAATTTTTGTGTGAATGAATTACTGACCTACTGACCTACATAAATTCCAAGAAATTACGCGCGCCTTCACGCGGTTACTACGGTTACTACGGTTACTATGTTTACTACGAGTAGTAATCACGTGACCGCTCACTGCCGTGCTTCCAAATTTATGAATAGAAAACTTTGAATCTTCATATCTCGGGAAGGACAAATCCTACAGACTTGACCAAGGATTCATTTTAAAGGGGAAACAACTCTCTTTATACCTATGTACTCGATATAATAAGAATACTTTCGTAAAATTTATTTAAACATATATACGTAATACGACTTTTTTTATGAATAAATATTACTTTTATAAAGCGATAAAGATTCTTTCAAATGAAAAGAAAAGTTTAATTAATTAAAGAACGATATGAAAATAAAACTGGCAAATTGTCAACCTGTTAAAGAGCGGTGCTTATATCTCAAATTGAAATATAAGTAATGAACGACATTTCCTAGTTCACTAACATAATCTACGATTGTACGATTGTACGATTGTACGATTGTACGATTGTACGATTGTACGATATAATCGTGAAAACCTAAAAGTGACCACTTAGCGAATATATATCTTGTAAGTTAAAGAGGAAATCATGGGGATCGTTATCTCCGGAACAAAGTCGTCCCTTTTCTCGTGACACATGGCGGCTTCGAGGAATATAACGAGTTTTCATACTGCGTATGTAGGAGGGTTAGTTCTAAGGAAGAGTGACGTCATGGTGGGAAACGACGGAAATAGAAATTACAGGAAAAGAGATGGTATATATTTTACGATTTGCCAGATTTTCATTTTTATTTGAAATTATCACAAACTATACGATCAAGCTGATACATTCAAATAAATAGAAAAAAATGTCAATGTTATTTTAGAGGGAAATTTCAATTATATCGTTGGCCACGTGCGAGCCCCGCGTGTTGAACAGAGATTTGCTTTAAACTGTCACTTTAATTCAACCGAACATCCACACAAAGGTACACTCTTAAACATCAATACGCATGAAGCTCTATATGAAAAGCTTTCACAGATACAAAGTGGTACGTCGAAACTGTGTTACCCAAAGGAAGGAAGGAAGGTTCGTTGTTAGAAAATTAGTCGTACGATAGGAGCGATACATAATGGATACTGCCTGCCGGTTACAGTACTAATCGATCGAGTAAGAGCCAATAATGGTACAGTATACACTACACAGACATATACGAATATACCTAAACGAATAAGTCCTGTGCATTAGCTTTACAAGGATGCTTTTACGGACGATCAGGAAATAAAAATGACAAAGGGAGAATAGAAAAACTAAGTTTCGGCAAAAGTTTAACTTCAAGATTGATAGATAAGGATACATAAATGTATTTCTTTTTACGTCACTTGTAAATACTGTGCCATAAAACAAGTACAGATATTTTTTTTTTGTCACGAACTTTGTAGATATGTACACGTATACTCGTATATATTTATGTATATACATAGAGGGAAAGGGAAATGAGAGGAAGGAGCACTTAGGCATCGCTAATCTCCAGTTTGAAATTCATCTCGTTAGATTCTAATGCCTGGATACGCTCGCCGGTATCGTGCTTGGATTTACCTACCCCTAAAGTCCATTGTGATACAAGAGAAAGAGAAGGAGAGAGAGAAACAGACTAAAAGGGGTTGAGAGAAGAGACGAGGGTGAGAGAAATCCGAGTAAAGATGACACGCACGAGTGAGCAACGAGAGAGGAACGAAAGAGGAAAAGGAAAATTCGTTGACTTACGCTGTTGCTAGCAGAAACCTGATACCCTACCCTTTTTATTATGGAACAGAAAACATGGGGTGCTTATTTCTCAAAAATATCTCAACAACTCCGACAAAATGTCCTCTACTATTGCTAATACTATATAATACTATTATATTATCGTACAGGATGTTGAACAAAAAATAAGAAAATAAAAATTAATATGATTTGAAATGTATTTCGCAAGAATAACAAAGTGCAGTATTGGTTACCCTTCCTTAGGGAAAAGATAATCGTTTGGAAAGAACCATAGATCAATGTTAGCTAACACTCGTGTCCTGTCGTTAGTATTTTTCGTTGTCATTCGGAATCGCTTCATTTCTGCATCATTTGTCGCGACGAAACTTTCCCCTATTACTATTTCACTTTGATATATGTATGCATAGTATATGTGTGCAAGCGTACATATACGAACTCGTTAAAATCCGAACGAACGATCGACGATACGCTCCTCTTTGACCCCTCTGTTACACGTGATTCCAACGACTGTCAAAATTAATGATGGGTGGTGACTTTTTTGTTCACGAAAAATAAAAGGGATGCTGAATAATCGAATATATAGTATGATATATTACATCTTGGGTAGTTTTCTTTCTCCTTCTCTATAGATACATTAAAATGTTTCTTCTATTTTTTTCAATCAAAATATACAGGTATATATAATTTGATGTACCCAAATAATAAAACATTAAATATAATAATAAGCTATCCTGACAATATAAACCTCCCCTATATACCAAAGGAACAAAACCAACCCTATGTATATAAGAAAGAAACAATTTCCCCGAGTAACTTCCAGAACACCATAAATAAAGCATGTAATTAGAGAGCAGCCTCTCTCTCTTTCAGAATACCATACCTCCATCTTCATTTCGTTTCAATCATTTTCATTAATTATCAATCAAACTCATATTTCATTTATCCCATCGATCTAACCTCAAAGAAACCGACTAGGAACAACAACAATAATAATCATTATCACCATCGTCATCGTCGTCATCGTCGTCATCAAGTATGCGTGCACAAGTTCTTCTTACTTCTCCCCTTACTTCAAGTACTATACCCTACTACAACACATATACCAGAGGCCGACCGATCATGCTTCGATGAATAATTACGTACGCGAGAGTTTCACATATTATACATACTATACTATGATGATATACAAGGTGTTTTATAAATGCTTGTCAATAATACTTCAGAAAATATATTTGCATGCTAAAACAAACGTCGTTTCACAACAATCTTTCTAATTTTATTCAGTGCATTTGATGCCAATTCTCTAACAACCCTTGACACAATCCTAACGCAAATCTGAAATATTGATATGCAGTTATGAAACACCCAGTATAAATGGGTGTGTACTTTAAACTCTCATATAAATTTAAAGAGTAGGGTGAAGAAGAAGAAGAAGAAGGGTGGGTGTAGGGTTAGGGAATTAAAGGTGGAATATGCACGTAGTCGATTCTCAAATACGTCTCGTGGTTTCAACGTATAATTGCATCTCGATTAGAAAAACTTGAAGTGTAAAGTCAATGAAGACATATATATATATAATATATGTACAACGTGTACCCGTGTGTGTGTGTGTGTGTGTGTGTAAGGTAGCGAGTGAGAGAGAAAGTCAAAAAAATAAGAGAAGAAAAAAATAATAAAAGGTTTATTATATCGTCGCGTGCATGTTGAACATGCACGTGAGTATATAGGTCTAAGTGCCAGAATCAATAACGACGGCAATTCATACGAGAGAAAGAGAGTGAAAGAAAATTTTGAATGGGCTCTATTCACTTTTGAAAGATTTTTGGCACGTGCTTCGCAGAACCTGGCAGAGGAGTTTGCAAAATCGTGTTGCAATTAAGGCTTTAAGGACCGAGCTTTGGCACTATCTTTCTCTTATTCGAAAGAGAAAGAAATAGAAATAGAAGCTGTAGTATGTGTGAGTTTTAAAGGGTGGTTCTCAGGATGGTTTTGGAGATTGGGACGAGGAGAAGGATGGGTTTTGGTGCTGGAACACCAGTAATAAAGGAACA